CAAATTAATGACAGTAGATAGGGAAATGTAGTTTATATAATTTGTTTTGCTTATAGGTACACGGTCTAGAGAGTAAAACTGACATTTATGAGTTAATTTCTAAAAATATATTTTACGTTTCTCTCTTCTTATCAGGGAGGGCGGTGCCCCAGCGCCCCCTATGGGCCGGCCGCCACTGCCCTGTACCCACTCCGGAGAGGGAATGCTTATAAAAAACATGCGAGAGCATACACAATCCCATTTCTCCTTGTGCACACTCTGTTTAAAAGTTGCTGTTTGCATCGCTCATACAAGCTCACTTTCCAAAAGATTTGCAATTTTTCCACTATGTTAGACTCAAGTGAAAATGGGGACAAACACGTAGGACGACCGTACGTAAACATATCAGCAGAATGATTGACAATTAGGAGGACCTCTTATTTTGATGGTGCACTCAGAAAAAGAGCATCCTCCCCAATACCTTTTCAAAGTAAGTAGGCCTACTTCAGTACTATAACTTGAGGAAATGTTTCCAAGGAATTTTTACATCTAGTTGAGAAATATTTGACCACGAGTATCACTGCTATTACTCAAGTACTATAGCTGAGTACTTTGTCCACCACTGGTGATTTCTTTTCCCCACTGGGATGTAATTCACCCCCTTTGAATAAGCAGTTCTCTTCCAAACCAGAGGGTGGCAGCAGTGATTTATCATCTGGAATCTCCTACCTTGACATTTTTAAAGTTAGTAGGCTGTATTAACCAAAATCTGACAAAAAAGACAATAGACTAATTAATTATTCACAAATATATGCTACAAATAAAGAGGACTAAAGCAGAAATAACATTCTTTCAAGCATACCCTTTTATGTTTTATGTGGTGAGTTTGTTTCTACAGTAATCTGGGAGGCCTCTATGTAACTAAAGATAAAGAACAATTGCTCAGCCCGTTTAATTTACGAGAACCACAGAATAATTTCAACAGCACCGATGTATGAATATGTTCACAGTTTTACTAACAAAAGCCTGTTAGGATTCTAGTTTGTGTGGGTTGTTTTTGTGTTTTCTTCTCTCCACCACCAGATGGTGCCCTGTCCTCATTGGGCCTCCTTGCACACCTGCGGCTCGTTGGGTCATTACAAGAGGAGTATTTGAGCAGCGGGCTGTCACTACCTCGACGCCTGAGTGTTTGCCAGTATTGGGTACTCTAGCTGTACTGAGAATAGCAGAGTCTAACCTTAGTCTTGTCTCTCTGAGTCTAAGCTTGTTTTGTCTTTGTTCTTCAGCAGGAAGCCTTCCTGAAACACTGGATAAGCCTGGACCTTCTATCCCCCAGGAAGGATTATCTGAGTCACACTGAGCAAGGAGAAACCTCCACATGGTCTGTTCAAGTCCACTTCTGGAAAGCCAGGTGACAGTCTGCTCCTTTACTCCTCTTGGTCCAACATTAGTCTGCCTGTCTGCTTTCCAACGAGTTCCTTCTTCCTTCTAACACAAACTGGATCCAAGGAATTACCAAGAGCCCCCCAAAACATGAGTGCCTCTCAAGCAATATACAAGCCTCTGTCTTTTTCCCACGGTCCCTGAACTGATCATTGTGATCTCCCCTTCATAGTTTCCGGTTCAGGTTCACCAGTCCGCTGAGGTCCAACACTATTACCCAGCAGAATATCTCTCTTCATCTGTGTTTTGCTAGCCCTCAATAAACCAGTAACTTTTACCCTTGGTCTCTGAGTAGTTCTCTGCATGATCTTTAAAGCCCATTATGACAAGCCTTATTTTAAAAAAACTGATCTGTCTTCAGTGATTTACCTAGAAAATATAAATGTTATGGTCATTTATTTTCCATATGGTTCATTGTGAACAGCATAGACTGACCCTGAGCTGATTTCAACCAGTCACTTTTCATCCAACACTCAGTCCATGCATGTGTTATTTCAAAGCTGGACTATATAACAGTCATTCTTTATTATCAGGACATCCATAAATTGTCATTTTGGACTTCAAGATGTTCTAATGTTTTTTCCAAGTACTGAAACACAATAATAGTTATATTCTAAATAGAGGGCAGTTGTTTGCGAGCTGAGAGGATGCAGCTTCCTCCAATCTGACATAACTAGTTGGGCAGGTTCACACAACCTAACTACATCCAGATTCAAATCAAAAAGTTCATACATGTTTGCTAGACTTGGACTGAGATCTGGTTTGGTAAATATCCTCACTTACTTGCACAATGAACTCTTTGATACAATCAAATCAACACATCTAAGGGATACAGTGAAACAAATATGAGGAAGCCCTGGGGGACAAAGTGGTAATAAATCTCAGCTAAAATGTGAGATCCTTTCTTCGGATGTGTTAAGGATTTTGTGCCAGACTTTTCACATTGCAGGTGTAGTGCTTAAAATGGTGAAATTCCTGCTGAATGTACTTTTGTTTCTTTTTCTATGTATGCTTCTGTCTCCTTGAACCCCAGTCAGCCTCAGCAGAACCCCAGTCTGCCTCTAGGAGAACCAGGCTCAGTGTGAGCCTGGTTCTCCTACAGGTTTTTTCTTATTAAAAGTTAGTTTTTCCTCTACAAGCATGCATGGTGTGAGGGATTGCTTTCGAGCCAACGAGTCAATGCAATCATCTGGTTTTCCTTACATAGAACAATTTGAACCAATCTAACTGTATGATCTGGTTGAATTTTCTCTGTAAAGTGCCTTGAGATATCTGTGTAAATTGGTGCCATATAAATAAACTGAAGCAAATTAAAGTTTATCTCAAAATATGGTAATAACCGATTACCTTATCTATTCTTATAAGTTTTTTTATCCATTAAGCTTTCAAGCACATTAAACATAAATAATCAAGGGCCACAGTGATTACCAATATGTTATTGGTGTATTTATTTAAACATTAACATCCACTGTAGAGTTTCACCTGTACAAAAAAAGAATCCCTTGGTTAATTGAATGTGACCAAGCACATTGAACTTTACACTCCTATTTATGTTCAATCCCCTTAGAACCCACCAGGGGAAATAAATTGTGATCAGGAAGATGTTCTGGTTTTTGAATTAAAAATATACAGACAAATATATATATATATATATATATATATATATATATATATATATATATATATATATATATATATATATATATATATATATATATAAATAATTGAAGCTGAGTTCCACCAGAAAATTGCAATTCTTTACTGTTCACAGCAGGGAGCGCTAGTTTTTAAGAAATCAATTCCAAGCCGTTCAACGGCTCTCTCTTAGGTGACCTGCTTTGTTGTTGCTTTTTTTGTCCCAAACTGATTTAGACATTTTAGCAACGGCTTTAGGGAGCATCCACTTACTGGAAACAGCCATGTAGGTGAATGCTTTTACAACATGGAACAAAATAATACTTTCAGTTTTGCAAAATACAGCAAAAACACATTATTCCCTTTGGCACACCCCTTCGAGGGCAGCAACTGAACCCTTATGAATACTCCAAAACAAATCTGAGCCAAACAATAAAATCAACATTCCACAAATAATGAGAATAAAAACTAAAAACAGTAAACACGCACATGCCAGCATATCAGAACGATAAGGTCACATTACTCTTGCAAAGGCATAGTTTTGTTGCTGGTTCTGAAAACTTTCAAAATGGCACATGGTAATATCCATGATAACATTCATTTTCATGACTTTTGTCCTGAGCGTATATCTGAGTGAACATGCAAACAGGCAACTCAGCATCGGTGTACCATACTTCATTGGTCGCTGGTCCTTTTTTCTTTTGCATTGTCTTTGCAGTTGCACCTTTGCAGTTTTGGCTATTTTACAGTCATTTTTTCCCCCAGTACCAAATATCAATTTGTACCCACCAGGGGGACATTTCCCCCCCTTTAACAATTAATGATTTGAAGAATGTTTTTAGAATCTCCTTTCAGTCTACTGTAAGGAAAACATGGTTATATGAATTCAGTAAAAACTGAAATCGAATTTAATTATAAGTGCGGTCCAAGCATTTTGTGACTCATTATTTTGTGACATTTTGTGACCCATCATTCATCAAAGCTAAAAAAACCAAAAAAAAACCTAAGGGATAAAAACTGATACAGACAAATGGCAAAGTGTGGATAGTGAATTGTTATGACTTGGAGCTGATTATGTAATGTGTAGTTTTAAGTTTACAACATACAGTTGTTCTAGAAAGTTTACATACCCTCCCATTTTTTTAGTTTTGTGTTCAAAACTGTAAAAAAAAATGTAATGATTAAAAAAGTGTACTAAATTGTAACTTAGTAAAATAAAATATAGATTTAATTTAATTATTCTTTCAAATTATTCTAAAAAAACAAACTATCCTATACAAATTAAAGCACCAACATACCTATCAACAGATATAAAAGTGTGAATGAGCATTTCCTGAACATTACAGAAAACACCTGATTTCAGTGACTGCCTCATAGTATTGCTCAACAAAAGTTTACTTCAGGAGCTCCATCAGGCTTGTTTACTTGTTTTATTTATTAATATATATATACACATATATATATATTCAAAATCACTATCAATATATATTTTTTGTCTTTAATGGATGGGTATGGAAACTTTCAAGCACAACTGTATACAACGTCAAAGTCCACAAAAGACATGTAGAAGTTGGGTGGACTAATTTCTATTCACAGTATCCTTAAGTAAAAAAAATAACACGGGGAGATTGTAACTTTGTAAAAAAAAAAAAAAATAAAGTACACATACGATCTTGTGGAAGCATCTGAACTGAATAATGATATGAAAACATTTTAACTGCCGTTTCAGTAAAAGAAAGTCTCATGGACACCAAACAGTCCATATGTGCAGAAAGATCAATGCAGAGACATACTTCCTCGTCTGGATGACTGAAGTGAAGGTATACAGAGATATCGGTGTTTGAGGCGTGGCCAGAGACGCACAAGTTCTGGATCAGGTCCAAAGAAGTGCGTGTATGCAAACTCATCATACGCACAGTTACTCTTCCACCGAACACCACCTGTTGCAATCCACTCCTCTGATTAACATACTTTCCCACAGCTCTTTTTCTTTTTTTGTTACTCCTCCCGCATTTCCTGCTTTCCACTGGTATGAAAAGCTCCAGGTGTATCTGCACAATGTTTCTGAGCTGTGCTGGCATCTGAAGCCTCTTAAAACAACAGGGCATTGCAAAAGCTGCTGCAACTGCAACAGTTGGAAATGTTGTAACATCATATTTTGTCTGTAATGACTGATCTCCAAAATGCGTGCAGAAGTCAGGAATCCTTCCGGACTTCCTTCTTAAGAGAAGTCTGTTTCCACCCTGAGGAGAACAGAAATGATGCTAATCTTGGTGACTGGGAAATGTCAAAAGCACAGCTTCCTACTTCTGTGGTTTCACATGGGGTCCTGCTGCTTCCTGCTAAACGATCTGGGCCTTGTGGACGTAGGAAGTGTGGGGGTTGTGACTGAGAGCCGGAGGGCTCATCCTGTTTTTGGAGAAATTGGAGCTGGAGGCCACACTGTCCTGATCATCAGGATGCTCCTGATTAATGGGGCCACCTAGCCCTTCATCAATCTCATCCTCATCATATGTTCCTTGTGGGTAGGTGCTGCTCGTCGGAGGGGGCTGGTAGCTCTTGATGGTGCTTCCTGTGTGTGAACCCCCATTTGCTGGGATGATAGCGCTGCCGTTCATCTTTCTTATGACCTCGGTTGAGCGTATTGTGGGGTAGTTTCCTTGGATGAGAGGGGGAAGCAAACGGGTCTCCTGCTGCAACGACACCAAGCAGAAACCTTTGTCATTGTTATCATCCACCAGAAATATGCAGAGGTTAGTAAAATAGATGAGAAGTTTTCCGTAATTTGTTATAAACAAGTTTAGACATGAAACAAGCAGAACAACATACTTACCAAGGACATGTTGCTGTTTCTCACAAATTGCTCTATTCTAAGCTGAGTTTCATCGTCCCTAACCATAGCCCTGTCCCTTCCCCTCCTTGAGTTGTTGTAGATAGACGGTCTTCCAAGAGAGTCGTAAGCAGAGCCCCCTCCTACACGCACACCTGAGATGGTCGATCTGCTGTCGCGGCAACGGGCTTGCTCCTGTTAATGCAGGAAAAAAAACTGTTTGTTAAAACATAGAGAAGCACTTATATATATATATATAGATACTTGTGTTAAAAGATAAATTTACTTATAGAGACTTAATAACGTATTTAATTAGCCAGCAAAAGCATTCATGCAATTGAACTTTTTCCCATGAACAAAGTATACTACATTTTTTAGAATGTCATTTAAAAGTATTTTACTTTTTTTTTTTTTTTACCTCACAGAAAGTAATACTTCCACTATATCATTAGGTTTTAGCTTGTGTTTAGGATCAATATAAAATACAAAGAAGAGTGTGGTTTCATTGTGAAAATGGGGAAAAGTTCAAGGGGTAGGAATACTTTTTCAAAGTCCTGTATTTTGAGCCTTCACTTCCTGTTACATTAACCTTTTTAGGTGCTGTTTCAGGTCTTAAAACTGCTTGGATAGGCACTAATCAGTTAAGAAAACTATGCAAGGAAAAGGAAGTGAAGAAGCAGCTGGTGTAGCATAATTTCTAACCATCTGAACCACACAAAACATGCATGACACACAAAACTAACCACACCGAAAAATCCCCAAATATTCTCCCACTTCCAAAACATCTGAAAAGAACTGATTTTTTAATTTAAGATCCTGTTCTTCTATACAAAAAGTCGGATCTCTCGACTGTTAGCATGCAATAAAGCTAACAGGCCTAGCATCGTCTAGGTTTTCTATGAAACCATTATAGCAGCAATGCAAATAGAGGTTTTGATTGGAACTTTAACAAAGCCACTGGTGTGGGCTGAGCTCTGTTTTCAACTTAAAGGTCTGCTTTTGCAGTTTGTTTAAAATGGAGCCTAGACACAAGTTCAATTGAAGAAACTGATTGCTCTCCTATATCCACCTGCGACATGAAAGCCAATCGGTGTCCAAAGTTCATCTTAAAAGGCCTCTGAACCGCACTGTCTGACCTGTGCGCAGGCTGTGGATGCGCTGTGTGACTTCATTCACATGCTACGCCAATTCAACCCACCTCCAGCCCCTCCTCCACCTTCATAGCTAAAGCTTAATCAGATTTTCATTCCTTCCGGACTCTTACTGCGTTCCCTGTCTCATCTCAACCGGTCCGGCAGAACACCGCCATGTTCAGCCTGGTTCTGCCAAAGGTTTCTCCCCAACTGGGAGTTTTTCCTCTCCACTGTCGCTTCATGCTTGCTCATCATGGACAGGTTCTCTCGACCTGTGTTATCCAACTGGACTTCCATCTTCCAAGTCCCTGAGTGAAGCTCTAGTATCAGCTCATGCAGTCCACTGGATCTCCCCATAAAGCTCAACATACCGTCTTGCTAACCAGCAGTCTACAGACTGAACAACTTCATCCATCTCCACTCCACCACCAGTTTCAGGCCTGCGGAAAAACAGCCCTATTCTCTGCTCCTGTTCATGCATATCTATCAAATAAATCTCTGTTTTCTGTCGAGGTCTGAGCGCCAAAGACAAAGTAATTGTATCAATAAATTTCACCTAATTGTCTTTTCTCTTCGTGTGATTTTTCAGATGGAAATATATATTTTTTTTCACAGTATCGTATAAACAGGTCCATGCAGAGCTAGGATTTAATTGTGATTGTAGCAGTTCCGCTTACATAATGCTAACCTTCTCATTTTATCCAGTTATACTGAATACAATAAAATGGACAAGGATTAATAAGCGGCTGGACTGTATTCTCTACATTCTCAAGAGTCTTTGCTTCTGTCTGTACCTAGTGTCCGCACTGAAGCTGGAAAGACAGCTTTTCAGTACTCTGCAGCATGGAACAATCTTCAGAAAGACTGGAAGTTGAAGGATTTGATTCCAATCGGACATTTTAAACGATTGCTCAAAGGTTTCGAAATGAGATCTATGGTTTGTAACTGTTTGATGAATTTCTAATTATAGATAGGTGTAATTGTAAACTGTAATGTAATTTGTAATGTAATCTTTTGCCGCTATCTCAGCCAGGACTCCCTTGAAAAAGAGATTGTTAATCTCAATGGGACTTTTCCTGGTTAAATAAAGGAATAATAAAAAAAAAAAAAAAACTTTGATAATAATGAACTTTATTTGTCCTTTCGATTTTTGTATCACAAAATAATTTGACCCCTGCTTTTAACATCGCTTATTGAGCAGTGAGTATATTTTTTAGAAAGGCCTTGGAAGCATTTTGGGGCTAAGGGTAAAATTCAAGGACCTGCTGCCTCTCCAGGAGGCAAATACCCTGCTTTCTAACCAAAAGGCCACTTCTATCCCCTTCTTTTGGTAAGTGAATTATAAATGTGCCAATTAAGATAGCAGATTCTGTGCATTAGCTCTTTTTAATTTGTTGTTTAAAACCAATATAGGAAAAATCCAACATCTGCCTCTGAAAAGGATTAACAGCACTGCTGAGAGTAGATTTGGTGTAACTTTAATAAAGAATCACAAGCAAAGCAAGGAACTCTCTGAAATGCAATAATTGTTGGCTAATTTAAAACTAGTCATATGATTTTTCTTTTTTGATGCTAATGTAATATTTAGCCAGCTGGATAAAGTCTGATTACAGCAGAAGCTCTTTCTAGATTTCTAGTGATTGAGGCAAAAGAGATTTAAAAAATATAGATGTATCCCACCTGACATCCGTCCCCCATACAGAGGAACAGAACACCTCGCCTGTTCAGCCAGACCAACAATTCCCTCTAACGAGCCCCCTTTCAGAGACATAGAGGTATAGGGTATTGCAGGCTAATAAACCCGAACGACTCCCATTCCTAAGGTGCGGACCCTTTCGTCCGTTTTAATTTGCATGTTTTCTAAGCCTAAACAAGGCTTTGTTTATTTTCCACTCTATAAAGCCTCAAACTCAACGGTATTTGTGACATTTTGAATTGAAAAGGCTTCCTGGATGGGAAGTGAAACGATTTCAAACTTGGAAACAAAATCCAGTGGATTATTATTTTTTTTTTTAAGCTTTTTCTGGAATCATCACAGCAGTTTTCTATTATGATGCTATTTCTTATACATACTATGAGAGATATTGAGTTACAATTAAATAGAAGCTTAGGCATTTTGTTCTGCATATAGTAACTAATCATTGGGAAACAATGACTTTTTGCATCATATTTATCAGTAAAACAACAGAAGATGGTGTTTTCATGCTACAAATAATACAGTCCAGTTGTTTGTCTATATATACTTAAAAGAAAAATTAGCATTCCAAAATCATAGAAACCCAAACGTCCCCCAAAAGAAAAGCATTTCAAAAATATAAATAAAGCCTTAAAGAAATGCAAGTCTGAGATGCACTACATTCAGGTCTGAAATGGAGAAACTCAGAACTTAGCCGCGCGGCATCTGGACAGTAAAGCCTCAGTCCCAGGCCCTGGCCCTGCATGCAGATTTATATTGATACGTAGACTGACCCCGAGGGAAGACAGGCTGTTCCTCAGGGTTGACTCCACTCTCAGAGGGAGGCTCTCCTCAATCTGCTTTTATAAAAAAGAATCACAATGCTTTCAAAAAATATATAAACACACACAAACACAAAAAGAAACTAGAATCACCTCTCTTGCATCAGTGCTGACAGAGTTCACCCTCCTGAATGAAGCTTGTCTGGACAGATTAGATATTTCTTCCCTGGAAGAAATATGAGATGGAAAATTTGACAGTTACTCGAACATTCAATGGGAGTTTTTAAATTGCGTCATTATATCAACATAAATAATGCTTATAGTTGGTTCGGAAACTGCATTTTCCTTGCATTGACTCCTAAATCTGCTGTTTTTTCTAATCACCTTAATATTATCTTATTGCTGTTAAATTTAATATGCTTGATTAATGTTATTCATGTATGTTTTCCTTTTAAAGATAAATCTGATTTTAAATAAAACCTTAGAATCATAAAAATTCTTCTCTTATACCTTTTCTTTGTCAGCTCCCTTTTCAGTTTCTTGTTCTTTTGCTTGTGGTGACATGTGAGGACGATGACAAGGATGAGCATGACAATCAGCAGCCCACCAGCCGCACCCCCAACGATGTACATCATCTTGTTCTCATGTATTTCCTCTCTATGCTCTGTTACAGCAGATACAGCCGGGATTGAAAGGGTTTGTTTATACATACATATGTAGATTCTCACAGTATGCATTAGATTGACAAGACATGCTGAATGCTCTGTTATCTACCTTTTAAGGTAATCTCCACCTTCGCCTCGTATTTGCCCTCAGTGTTGTTTACCAAGCACTGATAGGTGCCCATGTCTGAGATGTTAAGGGGTCGCTCAAAAACAAGTCTTCCATCTGAGTGGGGAACTGCATGTTTAGGAAGGACTCCACCTAATCTGTAGGCAGAACATAAACAGGGCAAGGTTACACGGCTTAAGTATACACACCCCTTTGTGACCTGCTGTTTTGGACACCTCAGAGGTTCATTTGAAAATAAATAACATCACAAAGATTAAAGAAGACAGCAAAGAGTTCAGGGAGGAAGATGAAGTTAAACCAGGGTTGGTCTATGAAGAACATCTCATAGATCATCCTTCAATCCCTCATATGACTGTGAAAAAATAATGACGCAAAAGATGAGTACTCAATTACAGGTAGTGAGTTCCCCTTAGAACTGACTCATTGACTGATTGCTTGTAGCGACAGTGGAGAGGAAAACTCTCTTTTAACAGGAAGAAACCTTCAATAGAACCAGGCTCAGTTTGAGCAGTCAGACTACTGAGGCCGACTGGAGTTCAAGATACCAGAAGCAGACTTCCAGAAAAAAGCAGAGATACAAAAGGCAACTGTTAACCAGCTTCACAGGTGGCCCCATCTAGGAAACACATAGCCAGGCAGACGAGCTACGAGCCAGCTCCCATGTCAGAGGATGAAAGAGAGCACACACAGTTAGTCCCAGTCAGAGAAACAGGACTACACTGAAAAACAAGCAATGAATGAAGAAGGTGAGAGCAGAACATTTGGTAATCATCCAGATTAGGTGCAAGTTTTAGCTCCAGTATGGGTGTAAGTCACAATATGGGGCAACATTTGCTGCTTGGCGGAGGTCTGTGCTCTCCGAGTGCTTTTCTAGTAACCAATGTTATGCTGATGATACTCAGTTGTATGTCCATAGATTGTGACAAACATACATTTTGTTAAAGGGTATAATGTGGCTAAAACTGTTACATAAATGGGAGTAAAACACCAGAGCCCTATCCTGTTTGAAAGTTCCTATACAGCCAAAACAGCCCAATATTGGATAACGGAATGGTTTGGGATCAAAATGCACTAAAGTGAAAGAATGGCCTAGAAAAGCCCAGACCTAAATCCAACAAATAATTTCTGGCAGAAAATATTTTCTTTCAGATGCTTTTAGTCTGATCAGAGTTAAAGCAAAAAAGAAAGCCTAAAACAAATTAAATATTTCTAATTTTGTAAAGCATTACACTGGAAAAACAATCTAGAAATAAGTATAAAATTCTTATATTAAGTGTATTTACTCTTAATTTGAGTAGGTAAATGAGATTGTTTGCCAATGGAATGAGTATTTTTATTCTTAAAATAAGATAATTAGATAATACACACTTGAAATAAGACAATGCAACTGTGTTTTCTTATTTTAAGTGTAAATTGTCTTGTTCCATTGACAAAATGTATATTTTACCTCCTTAATCCAAAAACAAATGCACTTATTCTAAGAAAAAATGACTTATCTAGATTTTGAATTTTTACTTCCACAACAAAATATTGCACCCAAGTATGTTGATAGACTACCATGAGGTAGGCCTATTTATCCAAATATAAATGAAAGAAAAATATTTGGTTGTACAGAGATGAAACACATAAAGTAGATCTGGTTAAAAATAGAGGAAACAAACAAAAAAAAAAGCATTGCAGCGAGATAAGTAAATAACCACTAAACAGGAAAGTTCTGCACATAAAGATGACAGAACATAAAATGTCTTATTGTTCTTTGTGCAAAAAGAACACAACCTGTAAGCCTGAGCAACTGTATCTTATATCACCATTCATAGCTGGTGTAGCAGTGTTTCTGTTTTGCTGTTTTTTTTAAATAGGGTGTGAGGCCAAACAGGCATTTGTCCTACCAAACTCC